TAAAAAGACAGTTAAGTGCAGTCTCAGCTCTTAGTTTATCATTCTGTAGCTGCTTTCCTCAGCAGTTAAGATAATGGGGAATCAGGAAAAAAAAAGTACCTGTATTTGCATTTGAACTTTTCATGTTGAACTCATATTTAAATAAAACATGTAACAGTTGACAGTTTCTCTTATCTGTACAAAAGGATCAATACTTTTTATTGACTTTACAAATCATTTATAGGTTCCAGTCTGTCTCCATACAAACACAAAATATCACTCTGAAAATAGTACATTAAATAATTAAATTAATGCACTCTGTAGTGCAGTTAATTTGTGTGAGAAAATCAGAAGTTGCAGGTTACTTGTAATTTGACCTGACTTTGCCAAAATCTGTGCTTCTCTAGGGTCCTTTTGCTTGCTCTGAGAATAAGATTTGACCTTATGAGGAAAGTGATAATTAGGCACTTTCTGTAATTCTCAGACTACTGAATCACTTTATATCAAACATATAATGTTTGATATTTATGTACAGACTTGGATAATGCATTGAGCTGCCTTCAGCGTGAAGATCCAAGTTTAAAAGTGAAGATAGATCCTGACACAGGACAAGTAAGATGAATCTTCTACTACTCCCCTTATAACCAAGTTTTGTTTTAGAGCTGTGAAGTTAGTTCGTCTGCATATTGAGATTTTCTTGAATAAAAAGGACTTTCTAAATGTTGTATATACAAAGTTCGGTGTGTGAAACTAAAATGGAGCCTTGTGCAGTTGTGCTTTACAGAATAGAGGAAGTCACCCTGTGCTCTGCATGTTTTGGACAGTTCTGTATTTAAAAATGTTTGAATTACATAGTCTTTAAGATAATGTAAGATTACCTTTTTTTTAGTGGTCACAGTAGTGGTGACTACACTTTCACGTGTGTTACTGTCACATGACTAATATAGCAGTGTTTTCTCTCTAGGGTCCTTAGAATTTGAAGTATTGATGGGTTTTGACAGTTCAAAGCATGCAAGTCTTTGCTTAAAGCATTTGTAATAAAACCTCTGACTTTTGCATGTTTTTCCACTTTCTCTCAACTGTCTTTTCACCAGACTATCCTCTGTGGCATGGGAGAACTACACATAGAGATCATTCATGACCGAATCAAACGTGAATATGGAATTGAGACTTATTTGGGACCTCTTCAAATAGCATATCGAGAAACCATCTTAAGTGCTGCCCAAGTTACAGGTAAAATGAGTAAATGGAAGGAACATCTTGTTTCTGGATTTGTAACTTGATGTACTTTAAATGATATATGACTAACTTTCAGATTAATTTTACATATTAGAGGTTTTTTCCAAATGGCTGTTTCACTTTTTTTTCCCTCCTCCTTGCAGATATATTGGACAAAACAGTAGGAGATAAACGACACTTTGTTACTGCAGAGTTAGAGGTGAGACCCAGGTCAGGGGACAGAGCAATGACAAAACCCATCATCAACTACGCTGAGAGTGTTATTGGAGAACTACCCAAAGAACTCCAAGGAGCTATAGAAAATGGAATCATGAATTCATGCATTCAAGGTAAAGGAAGTGCTATGACAGCTGTACTAGTATAATATTTTTATAAGAAGTAATTTAACAAGTTTCTAGAAGGAAACACTCCTTGGTAGCTTGAAAACTAAAAAGTAGTACATACTAACATGTAAGATGCAAAGGAAAATTATGAAATTTCCTTAACTACAAAAATTGCCAAACACTTCCCTATTTCAGGAATGGAAGTCAGCATCCTTTGATTTGGTTTTCAGATTGATTTCATCTCAGTCACTGTAAAGTGAGGTTGGAGTTCTTCTGGTTTATTTTTTAACCTGCTATTAAGAGATAAGGTGTTTACTTCATGACAGAAATGGTTTCAGAGGCCAACATGTACACAATGCACTCTATTAGTGTTACTGATGCATTTTTTGCAAATACATAAAATCCATGAGTTTTCAGTAAAGCCTTACCTAATTGCAAAGTGAGGGCTTTCTCAAGGACTAAAAGTGTCCTTGACTTTTGACTAAAAATAGGAAGTATTTAATTACATGTTGCCAAAGAGCTCTGTCTTACAATAAAATTAACAGGTAGTTGATTGACAAATGAGAATTACTCTGTACAAAGTGTTTTTTCCATGTTGCTACGTGGAATTGGAAAGCTTCTCCCATCTCTGGCTGTTGAATGACTCTTAGTTGTGCGCTTTCTTCATGCTCCTTGAAGACACTTCAGAACTGTGCTGTCTCCAGCCTAAAATTGATGCCATTAAGTGCTTAAAAAACCCAAAAAGATCTGGCCATGTTCTCTGTAAGAAAAAAGCGACGTGTTTTTTCTCAGATGGCCTCACATCTAGTCCAATACAGTTTGGTCTGGTTGAGAGTCCTGGGTTGGAGGGAGATAACCTGTCTGAGATGCTAGATGTCATTAATCCTTTATGGAATTGAGTTAACCCTGGAGTTGTGGTGGTGGGTTAATATCAGGTTTTGCTGTGATCATATTGTGTTGAAAAGGAAGATGTAGAAAATACTCTGGCTTCTGATTTAACAAAAGGTTTCACTACTTTTTCAAGTGAGGTCTTGTTTCAATAGACAAGACAAATACTATAGTGTATTTTTTAAAAGCTTCATTTTCAGGAACAGTTGCATGGATGAGCACACTCAGGAACTTACTGTTTCAGAATTATCTATGTTTTTGATAAAGAGAGTAAGAAAGTATTCCTTTGTCTCTTTTGGCAAAGCTAGGTAATGACAAAATCACAAAATGAGGAACACAACCAGTAGTCACATTCTTTCAGGGGCGGACAGGGAAGGAGAGAGCAAAGAGGAAAGTGAGCAGCTTTAAATTAATCCTGAAAAATTTTTTGCATCTCTCTTAATATTCTGAAAAACAAATCTGCTTTTTTCTTTTCTTCTCTTCTACACTGGCCCACCCAGGACCTCTGCTTGGATTCCCAGTTCAGGATATAGAGGTGACAGTGCAATCACTGACAGTGCATCCAGACACCTCCCACACAATGGTATCAGCCTGTGTCTCCCGTTGCATGCAAAAGGTACACTGAAACTGTAAGCTGATGAAGAATACAGCACCATGATATACTGCTGGGAAAATCTGTGTGTATCTGTATCTGGTACTTGATCTGCTCTGTCAGTGTAATGCCCTCGCTGAGAACTCTACAGCTTTTAAAAGTAGAGAATTTGAGAGACGGTGTTAGCTTCATGATAGAAGTATCTATAATGTCAATTTTATTTTAAACAAACAAACAAACCCCCAAAAATACATTGACGTAATTTCCCTTCCTTCCTTTCTGTGTAGGCTTTGAAAAAAGCTGGTATACAAATACTGGAGCCCCTGATGAACCTAGAAATCACAGTAAGTGAAAATCATCTCAGTGCAGCACTTGCTGATCTTGCACAGCGGAGAGGTAGTATTCAGGAAATTCAGAGTCGTCAAGATAACAGAGTTGTGGTTGCTGCTGTTCCACTAGCAGAAATGATGGTATGTGATTACCTTATTAATGGTAAAAATAATTTTTTTATATGCTTAAAAAAATGGCTTCACTTTTTGTTATGGGTAAGTTTAGAATGGATGGGGTTTCTTACTGTGTTTTAATTATTGAAGGTCCAAAGGAAGTGCCCACAAATCTAGTAGTGTTCTTTTGCCCAATTCATATTGTTAAACCAGCACATACTCAAGTGTAAGTCAAAGAAGTAGTAAGTACTGCTAGAACAGGTTTAACAGGGAATAGTTTTTTAAAAATATTATTATTGACTCATGCATGTATTGCACTTTTAATAGAGTAATGTTAAAAAATTCACTTACTAGTATGTTGCAGTATACTTCTGACACTCTCTCTCTCTCTGTGATCTAAGCAGCCTTCTGTGCTAACTTATCTTCCCTTTATCCTAAACTGAGTGACCATCATGTCCATTTTGTCCAGGGCTACTCAACAGTTCTGCGTTCTTTAACATCAGGCTCAGCAACGTTCACATTGGAGCTTGCCAGTTATCAAGCCCTGAACAGTCAAGAGCAAAGTGCACTTCTTCAGAGGAGGATGGGGTTGGTGTGATCACTTTACTCTGTAGAACAGTGTTTTCTATCCTCCAGGTTAAATATTTCCATATGTACACCAGTACATTCGCCTGGGACCAACTGGTAGTGGTAAATGATGAGTCAGCAGCCTTATGAACAGACTGGGCTCTTAATTGTCCGTGAGGGAAAGTTCAAGAGCCTGTTCTAATGGCACAGCCTTGTAATTGCAAAGCAGGGATGGAACCACAAGGTGTTGCTTTGCAAATTTTTATCTTACAGATAAGATCTGTAAGGAGAATTGATGCACATCCTTTTCATAGAAATGAGGACTAAGTGCACCTTAGTGTGCCATGAGAACTGTTTCTTAATTTAGTAAATAAAGTTTGTGAAGTTTATGTCTATCAGTGAAATAACTTTACAGTTTCGGCAGTCTGTATCATTTGTTTTCAGCTGAGCGAAAGTATATGGTCAATATGCACTTCAAACAGTACAACTTAAGTATTACTTCTTGTACTGGTAGCAACTAGTTATGACAGAGTTCAGGACTGCGGTAACTTCTACCTGAGTTTGCTTTAGCAAGTAAGTGAAATGGATACTTCTGCAAATTGTGTAAGATCCGTGCAAAAAAAATACAAGAAAGAGAGAGTTCTTCCACGACGGTAATCCCTACTTACCACCCTGCAATATGATGAGGGAGGATTTTTTTTTTACTTTTAGGAATGAGTGAATTAAGCTGTAATAGTCCTGATTTGCTATGAGTTGCAATTATCTGGTTACTTAGAAAACTGGCCAATGATAAAATCCTTTGAAATAAAAAAGATAGTTTGCTCTTTATTTAAATGGTGTCTTAGCTTTATTTTCTCAACTTTAGAATGTAAAGAAACTGGAATTAGTAACTATGGTATCAAGTTTCAGGATTTCACAGTGAAGAATCCCAGTTTCTAAAACCCTAAAAACAACCATTTTTACTCCAACAAGGTTATCAAACAATTTTATTTTAAAAGTGAAAATTTTAAATCTTGATTCAAATACATATTCATACCCCAGAGGCACTTGAGGTTGTTGAGGAGAAGTCTTTGCAGCAGTTACGGCCCTCTCGCTTCATGGGCGCAGTATCCAACGAACACCGGTTCGGCCGCTATGCCACGGCTGTTAAAATAAAGTGGAATGTGTATGACTATAATCAAACAACTGGCTGTTTGTATAGGCAGGAAGAGAGATACTGGCACTCCATTCTATAAACAAAACAATGTCGAAGAAATAACAGATGGCCTCTGTAGGGAATGAAAAGGGGCCCTATTCCACTTCTAATTGTACTTCAGTTCTCTGTTTCAATCAGAGCTACTGAGCTATTAGCAAACATGTTGAAAAGCTTGAATTCAGGACCCAGTTGTTTTGATGTTCTGCAAAATTTACAGCTTTTATTGGAAAGAAGTCATAAGAACATGCAAATATAAATCAATTGACATTTGCACACTCTCCCTGCTGCCAACCCTAATGTTTCCTCCATATGCAGCTCTAATTATGTAATTTTCATTCATATTTGGGGGGAGCCAGGACTTCTTCCAGCTTACACTATCATAAATTAGTCTGTTCTCATGTGGCTTTAAAAACAAACTAACCAAGCCCTTGTAGTTTATGATGGTACAGTAAGATAGTATAAAAAGAATTTTCAGAGTTAAAGAAGTCCTAGTCAAAATTCTGCTTCTTGAATATTTAAGGACTAGATACTACTGCTACTAGTGTTTAAAAGTGCTGCAGTGGAAGAAACTGAATAATGGATTAGCTCAGCTGAACTATTGCTGCACCTAAGCAAGTCCTACTCTTATTTAGTAAAGACAGGGCTGGTGTCTAGGCCTCTAGAATATATGCCCACCTTTTTGTTTCCTTTCTCCCATTTTCATTTCAGTTTGGGCTGCTGTGTCCTAGGGGAGGTTGAATTTAGATAAGAGTAGCTACTGCTTTCACTGTACTGTTTCAAGAGCAGTGGCCTCAACCTTCAATAGACAGAGTTACTGTTCTTCCAGTGACCACAACCGAGCTGTTACAAAGTGCTACCCACCCATTCCCTCACTCCCTCATAACCAGCTGCACAGCAAGCCAGAGCTGTTCATTCTGCTTGGAAAGGCTCATTGGCCTTCTAAAATTGCCATGGTCTATGTATACACCATATATAAAAACATAAGTAGGAACACAGTCCTTTTCCCACACACTAAGACTACAATAGCCTGATATTAAATAATCTCTTTGAGTTCGCACAATTCTAAGGAGGCTCTGTATACATGAAAGGCAACAGAACTGCAGCTCCAAGGAATGCTCATTTCATCACTGGAAAGGCGATGGTTTCTCTAGTGTATTTCTTGTTCAAAACCTGTATCAAAAGAATAATTTTCAGGAGGACATGTCCTTTTATTAAGGTAGTCAGTTTCTAACAGGAATAGTTCACCCTAAGTCAGCAAAACAGTTCTTCTTTAAACTAGTTTCTGGTGCTAAAATGTGCAGTAAGTACAGGGAGTAGTGCTTAGTCTGCCCCTGCATCTCTCATGCCAGCACCACGAGAGCAGTTGTCATCAGCCAGCCAGCTCCCTACACAGCAATACAAGTACCAGTGTTCATGAAGAAGATGTAGATGCAGCAGTCCAGGACTAACATGGCTTAGTTCACTGTAAAACCCTAATCCTAGTGGTACAGCCACTGTACTCTTCACTGTTCAGTTGTATTTGTGTTTTCCCTGAGCCCCATCAAGAGATGCACCATCCTGTTAAGTAATAGGGCATAAGTTTTTAAAGCCCTTTAATCTTGTTTTTAACATGTATTTGTTAACTCCCTCAATGTATCTATTTTTCTCATAATCGAGGAAGATAGCACAATTTACATATAGCTAGTTTCCTAAGCATTATTTTAAGCCAGCTTGAAATAAACCCAACAAATCAAAACTTACAAGTCCTTCAGTCATTCTTGATTAATTAAGGAGCTAGTGTGTACTGTAAGCTAAATGCCAGTGATTCCAACAGATAATCATTCTAAGACACCTACAGGAATACAAGCAGAGTGCTTCAGTTTTAAGTGCTGACTATAACTGCTTTTGTATCCTGTTCTGTAAAAGGCTGATTTCTTTCTCCCTTGAAATACTTCCACACAGTGTTGAGATTTTCAATAGTTGTCATAAAGTTTTGTAGAGAAATAAAACGGCATGTTTCATTCTTGCTGCAGTCCAACTATGCACCAGCATTTGGGAAAACCTAAAAAACTCTGATTGTATATTTTAAAAGTGGAGTCAACCTTGGACTTAAAACCTAGGCATCACTCATATGTACAACTGTGAATATACAAAGACACCACTAGCAATAATTAACCAGTAACTTGTCTAGGTACTTTTTAGGAAAGAACTGCAGAGAAGAATGTGTTATGACTACTGTAGACAAAGTCAGTTCATAAAGGTATTAAAATTTATCAGAGACTCCTTAGCTACCACTTTCAGACCCTGAACTAAGGCAACACCTGAAAGAATATCTTGATCACCTCTCAGGCAAACAGCTCCACTTGATTACCTGTGGCAGGTCTTTAATTATTATTTATAATAAATAACACCAACTTTTTTTTAAAAGTGTACTTTTTCTTTTGTCAGTGTACTCCTCTCATATACCCTTTAATATCCTTTTTGTCTGAAATAAGTCAATCATGGTGTTAGTTTTTCGTTTAAAGGAAAGAGAAACATAGATTTCACTGAAAAAGTGAGTTCTGAAAATGTTAGTTATGAAACTGTCTAAAACTCCTGTCTCAATGCATCTTTCTTCCTCTTCTGTGGATACAAACCACACTACCTCTCTTCCCTTCATTTCCAGGTCAGCAGTTTAGGTCTGTACTTCTATTTCATTGGTTACAAGACATTAGAACCAAGATACACTGTAGCCACTAAATCTTACCGGAGCATGCGGCAGCGATGATTCATTAGCCTTCTATAGGCATCTTGCAAGTCGGTCACTTTCCCGCTGCTCCAGAGTCTTTCCCCTACAGCACTTGCTCGAGGCCTGTAAAGGTATACTAAGTTTTAGAGTAGGTGTGGTCTATAACCAAGAATAGATAAAATTTTTTTATAGCTGCTCAGGTTCAGCACAGAGCACTGTTACCACTATCATATAGTCTTGTTGGATTAGTTAAGATCCTTGTAGCTGGCTTCTGAAAATCAAATGATAAAGCAGTTCATACCATAATCTTGGTGTCAGGTTCGTTGCATCCACAAATTCCCCCCACAGGCAGGCTTCTCCACCTATTAAAAGTTTCTTCTGTTCTTCAGATCCTGAATTCAAAGCAAAAGGTCAGAATTTTTATTTTTCCAGAAGATGAGAATATATTAACAATTTAATTTTCTACTACTTAGAGAGGATTGATGTTCAGTTGTTTGCTTGATCATATAAAACTATCCTGAGCACTAACTTAACATTTTAGTAGTCTTGTTACTGAATGTGAGAACCACCAGGCTGTTTGCCCAGAGAAGCCACTTCTCCTCTCTTTCAGAAAGTATTTTACCTTTTATCCCCTGAAGACATTCCTGAGCCTCCTGACATTCCTCAGGGATATCAGTCCTGATGGAAACTGTTCATTCTATCACATGCAGAAACATTCTTTGAAAAAACCACTTAGTCAGGTGTTCTCCCTAATCAGCTCTGAGACCTACTTTGCACAAAATAAAAGCCCCATGGAAAGCATAACATGTTTGTATCAGCTTTAGACAGAAGGAAAGAACATGTCTTCTATAAAACAGTTTCACACTCTAGAAGCTTGCTAACATATGTCTACCAGCAGCCATTCTGCACAACTCCCCACCTAAAGTATGATGCACCTTGTCCATCATCCTGTCTCACACAAGCACCAGTATCAGATCTTGAGGAAGGTAACACCTTTCCCTGTGAGAAGTGCAAAGTTCCTTTTTTTTCAAATTTAAGAATTTTCCAGAGTTCTAGTTGACATTAAATTCCTTTGATTACACTATAATCACAGTGATGGAATGACCACTCCAAACAGCCTTATTCTTTCCATTTACCCCTTACTATAAACAAAAAATTTCATGCACAGAACATGCGTATAAAAAAAGTAACAAACCAGGGAAGTCAAGTGGTTCAACACTGTAGTATTTCTTCCAGTCTTGCCCATAACTGATGTAGTCCAAGTACCAGGGTGCAGCCAGGACAGCGGAGAACCCAGCTCCAGTGACATGGCTCAGTTCATGAGCATAGTTGTTTGCCATCCACACTTGAACTACAGTGTCTGGTTTCAGCTAAAAGGGGGTAAGACAGAACAAACAACCCCGATCCCCCCCCCCCCCCCAAAAAAAGCCATTAATGACAATCCTAATTGCTGTTACCAGGAAAAAAGGATGATGAATTTCAAAACTGGCTATTTCATTTTGAAGAGGAACATTTTGGAAGCTACCTGTGGTCATCTCCCCCAGAGTCTAAAGCTAATCAGCTCTTTGTTGGTTTTAAACACAGCTCTTGTGAGTGAAGCCTAGGTTATACTATAGACAGTTAATGCTCTAAGAGGATTCCTGCATGCACCCTGTATCTGACCAGCTCTTAAAAGCCAAGCATCTGGTGTTACTAGATCAGACACATAGTTGTGTAAGGCGGAAAAAAAAAAAGGAAACTCCTAGAAACTTCCCTGCCCTTTACTCTGACACTTTAAAACATATTATATTAACTGTGTTCACCTTCAGAAAGAACTTCAGTGCTGGTATTCCTGTCCCACCTGTCATGGTCAACAAATGGTAATTTCAAGGGAGGCCCCACACCTAGAGAGACTTGCTAATGTCAGAAGACTTGCTTTAACTTTCAAGAGACGCAAACAGACCTACTTAGTAGCCTACTTTGGAAGCTTCCCACAATATTGTGCTGTTATACAAAAGTATCTTATTAATTTTCCCATCTTACCTGTGCTTTGTGATCAAACACTTCTTGCCAGATGATTTGTCCTTTGTTATAGGAGGAAACAATGTCCAAAATGCTGGAATTTATAAATTAGATCAGGTTTGTGAACTTCAGTAAGTACAGGCACTTGAAGTAGCAACATTTTCTACCCTAAGGCCCATCTGACATTTCCCATCACTGCATAGGGTACCACGAAAAAGCATGTTGTTCTGGTTTTGGCCTTCAGTGCTCTCGAAGTCCATGCGTATAACAGTGTGCATGTGCAGTAACACAAACTGATGTTCAGAACTACCAGCAACTTGTACACGGTAACTAAATCCATGTTATTTAAGAAGGAGCCAAATAAATGGCTCCAAAACCTTTTCCTCTACACCCTGTGTGCTGCCATTACTGCAGTTATCTAGTTTAAGATATCCAATACATTCATAGTGTGTGTAGAACTAGCCTAGATATCCTTGCTGTATCCCACATTTTACAGCTATGAACTTTACATTTGATGTATTAAAGTGGGTAGTCCCCCATGTGCCGATTTTTGAAAACAATATAGATATTACATCAGCTTTAGTATCTGCACCTCAATGCTATCCTCAGATAGTGACTGTGAAAAACCGAGCAAGAATGAAAAAAACTAACATACTTCTGAATATAGTAAGATTCCAGTTTAGCATAGTCACAGCCAAAACCTTGCTTCTTCATGAACTCTTTCACTTCAGGGTTAGATTTCCTTAAATAATAACAAGGAAACAAGTTAAAGAAAAGATTATTTTTCTTATGTTTTAAACCAGATTTCCCAAACATTTCCACCTAAGCACAGCACTAGATGGTGCCTTTGGCATGCCATAGCCTGGAATGCAAAATAGAGCAGAAGCAGCAGGCTAACATGACTTCAATATTTTGAAACAGTTTCATCCTGATTTGAAGTAAAGCCAATAGTCCTAATTCTCTGGTAAAACTAGTGAAGTCTCTGTTCTGAAGTGGTCTCTGGCAGACTGCCTCAAACTCTTAAGAGCTCTGGGGTTCCTGGCATCTCTGTGACTTGGTGGGAAGGTTGTCAGCAGATCTGGGAACTCAGCAATTTTGTGCTTTTACCACAAAAGCAAACCAGCACTTCCGTGGTAAAGCATTTGTCAGAAGTTCTCTTTCTCTATAAAAATTAAATCAAGTCCTGAGTGTTCAGATTTGATGTTTAAAAATAATCATCAAAATGTTCAAATTCTGTACTATTAGTTACTCCAGCAAAGAGACTCCAAAATATTCAAAATCCACAAACAAATTAAGAGCTCTATTAACACATGTCCCACTTTAAATACAAACACAAAAGAAATCAGTTTGGTAGTACTTAGCGTTAGCGTATTTTCTGGAGGGCAGAACTCAATGGAAAGATCTACTTTAACATAGAGTATTTAAATGTTAATTATCTTATCTAGTACTTTTCTATCATATTAGTTCTCTTTCCTGCCAGGTTAATTTTCATAAAGAAATCCTTTAGAGTACTTGAGCATTTGTAAAACTACTAGACAAAGCAAAATTCTGCACAATATCTCTTGCTTGTTGAGAATCACAAATGCTCTGCTTGTAAATAATTATAGAGATAGGAGTGGAGATCTTTTGGTTATGCAGTGAAAACTGTCTCATGCAACTGAGTTCCATAATTAATGGATGTGGATAGGTTTAAGAAGCAGTAGATATTTGTTCTTTGAATTGTCACCATACCAGCAACTGAAGTCCACTTCATCTCCTCCCAAATGAATGTATGCATCTGGAAACACATTGCTGACCTCTTTGAAGAATTTAGTCATGAAGTCATAAGTTGTATTCAAAATAGGATTTACAGGTCCAAAGGACCCAGTTGGCTGTTCTCCATCGTAACAAGGAGTGAGAAGGTCTTTTTGACCTAGTAAAAACAATTAATAGAGGACATTCAGTTCCATGTTGCTATGCTAGCTTTACTAGCAGGAAGAAGCAGTTACCCATATTAAAAAGGTTAATATTCATGACTAAAGTGCTCACCTATTCCAAGTATAATCAAATAGAGGCAGAATGAAATAACTTGGACAAGGTTAAAGAACCCTCTAACTGGCAATTAGGACTTGGACTTTCAGATTTGTGATTTAACACACACTAATTTACATAACATGTAACACTATATCTGAAAAACAGCATTTGGATGACTACTTGAATAAAAAAAAACTTTAATGGATTTAGGAAGGAAGCCAAGCATAATGAATATGCTTCAGAGGCCTCTTTTCTCTTTTAATTACTCTGTTTTGCTAACATCTAAGTAGGTGTGAGGTATATAGCTCAAGGTAGATGTCCTACCTCACCCTCCTGGGAATTTACCTTTACACAAGAAAGGAAGGCTAAACAGAGATCAAAACTACACAATGGTTCTCAAGTCAAGATTATCTGAAGCAACATGAGCCACGATAACTAAATAGGAAAGAGTTATTGTACGTGGGTTGGAGATACCTAAATCCAGCTTATTTAGTATATAATAGTTGCAGCAGCAGCACCTTCCTGCCTGTGTTTCCTACTCTGAGCACATTTCCCCCAAATGAGGCCCTAGTGCTAAATTGCTTCTACTACCCTACTCACAAGCATTAAGACTTCTCTCCAATATCCTGAATTTGAATGCAAGCAAAGCATAGCTACCCAAGTTCATAAGCAAAGCCAGGACTAGCTCCTGTGCATCACATAAAAAAAAACTATATAGGAAGCTATCAAGAAAATTTGATTTTAGGCAAGGGAGATAACTTGCTCTTCAAATGAATGCAGAACACCCCACATACTGCTAGGCAAGCCAGTGATTTAATAATTCGCTGTAAGGACAAAGACCACTTGAGATAAAGGATTCAGAAAGAGTGTGTTTAGCAAATTTGGGGTTTGCCTTGTTCCTCTCCTTCTCATTTTGAATTACTGAGAAAGAGCCTAAGACATCTTTCAACATTATAGCCACAGCCCTACAGGATGAATACAAGACTTGCTAAAGTCTTGCTAAAGCTAAACTTATGAGGCACTAAAAAAACCTTTACTTTTGGCCAAAACCATCTTAAGTTAATTGCAGTGAAATTGCATTCATTGCACATTGAATTAAGGCACAAGGTTTCCTGGTCCTTGAGTACATGTAAACACCAGCATTCTGTATCAAGAGAAGTATTACTGTGAGACCGAGAAGGTAAGAGAGTGAGGAAGTATCCAGCTTTGCTGTGTTTTGTACACTGGCAGATTACCACTTTACTAAGAGATAATCATCACTCACTTTGAAAGAACCTTCCCAAAGCAGAAATCTCTACTCTACACCAGACAGCAACTCATTATTTCTAGCTACTGCCTTATTCTAAACCTGAGTACTGAGTGAGGGGATATCAACAACATAAAGTCTAAGGCAGAACAGATCTGTACCTTTGCACACACATCCAGCACAGGACGTGTCAACTTTCTTCATTCATTTTAGTTCCTGTAACAGGTAAAGGTCATGATAAGAGGTAAGGAAGGGGCAGACTCTGTGATGTCAAGGGCCTTCCAAAGCACTTTATTGACTACGTTTTAAAAAATCCATTTGCTTGCTACTACTCACCACAATCTCGTAACAATTAATACTTTTTTCGACATACCTTTTCCCCAAGACTGTGTGTGTCCTGGGGTATCAAACTCTGGGATAACTCTAATGCCTCTTAATCGGGCATACTCAATCACCAGATGGACATCAGCAGGAGTATAGATGAGATTAGAGGAATACGCTCCCTGTAAAATAACTCACATTTAGAGACAGTTTACAAAACACTATACCAGCAGCTCACAAAAATTGGACTAAAGTGTTGTAAAACTGCTCTACAGTCTACATTATAAGTTAGCCTTTTCTGGTTTATCACATGTGCAACTGTACTGATGGAACTTTTTGGCTGACTAGTGGAGAGAAGAAAAAAACAATCAAAAAACAAACCAACAAGTTCACAACACTGAGAGAGACCTCCTTGAGAAGACCATCTTTCCTCCTTAGCTCACAGTTACTGAAGAAAACAGAAAAGCTAGTTTCTATTCTGTCAGATTTCTGAAAGATACAGTTTTCAATTCTTCTGTACAGAGGCAAGTTATTTTTTCCCATTAGCTCTGAAACACAGGGCCCTTGCTACATAACACACAAGACTAATGGAAAAATTTTGCCAAGTCAGAAAAAATGGTGTCTTCTTCCAACACCTCTGCTTTTCAGTTTTGATACTGTGACCAATTTAGTATCAGGGAGTGTTTGTTTTGTGACACTGAATTTGAGTGTTATTCTACTCCCTCACATCCAAAAAATGTGACAAATGACCCAGACAGCTACAGTTTGCTAAAACAGATGCTTGCTAAAGATCTAAACTATGTAAGAATACATCATGAGTCTTCATGACTAATAGCACCTTAAGCTTTCATTTATCTGGAAATGGTTTCCACAGCTGAGTTACTCAAAAAACGTAACAGCAAACAAGAAGATTTTCAAAGAGAAGGATATTGAGACAAAAGCCATCTTCCTCTCTCCCCTGTCAGTGGAGCATAGGACAGAACTCCATAGCCATTACTAGGAAAAATAATCTGACTGCACTGTGCAAGATCTACAATTTTTGAATTATAAAATTCTTCACAGCATCTGCTCAAGCACCGCCTACATAATTTTCATGAGGGTCAGATTCCAGCAAGTGATTTAAAACAGAATCCCTAATCTTGTACTTAGGCTTAGTCTACTTAAGTATTCATGTTTGATTTGGTTTCTACCGTACCATGACTGAGCAAGAACCCCATGACTTTCAACTAATTTAACAAAGCCTGCTATGAATCTAGAAATAAAGAGACACACTGCACTGTATTTGTTTTAGAAAACAACTTCTCACTTTTGTACCTCTTTATAGGCATGCTGTGTTTTGTAAAGTTAACTAGATCTCAGACAGGGCAAAAGTACTATTGCAGTGGTTCCAAACCTAAATCTGGCAAGAAACTCTCTTACATCTGAGTGGCAGGAAGCCTAACAGTTAAAAAACCCCACCACCAGAAATTCAAGCAGTGTTCACTACTTATTTGTATACCATTACTGTTTGAAGTCCTGCAAACACTGAGGATCATTAAGAAAATCTGCACAGAAGAGTTAGGAAGGCCATATACCACGTATCCACCAAGGAAGATTTGAAAATAGTCCACACAGACACTCAGGTAGAATCCTAAATGTGGATTTGCTGATTACTGGTCGTGTGGTACTGTTTCACAATCAGCCAAAGCAGATGTACTCAACCATTGGTAAACTCTGCATTTTATATTCATGAAATATGTACTGGATTTCAGCCCTCCCACCCCAGTCCAATGATGTTCACTCACCTTATCACTTAATTCAGGAAAATAAATGCTCTGGTAAGGGAATGACTGATCATCTACTATATGCCAGTGGAGAACATTGAACTTGTTAAAAGCCATAGCATCCTGTAAGAAATAATGCAAAAGACTCTAGTCAAACACTTCACTCTCATAGAAAACCTATGGAAAAAAGTCCATGCCCGAGCATATCCTGCAAACCTAAACTAACAGCTAAAAAAGAAAAAAACCAAACAAACCAAAAAACCCCAAACCAAGCAAAAAAAGCATAGTGTGTTTCACTGAATCCTAGAAGTACACACCTCTACTGGTTCATTTCTCTCCATCTATTTGCACCTCTGCTGGCAACAAGCTCTTGGTCTAACCCTCTTCTATCAGCCTGTGTAGTAAGAACTGCTATAAACACTCATTAATTTATTCCATTTCAGAACATTTCTGGGTAATTCTGTATACACCATCAGATATTTCAGCCTACAGAAAAGCTTATACTTTTATAACTACTTTGGACTCGAAAACTTAACAGCATAAGGGAGTTTCCTGTAATTCCTATTTAGTACATCCATTCTTGCTCCTGATTTCTGAAGAATCCATTTCAAATGCACACAAAATAAACCATGCTTTTTCCCCACAAAAGACAGTGCTTCCCTTATGTTTTCAGTTATTATAGTCACTACTTCCCTTTTTTTTGAAATTGAAGATAAGATCAATGTTAACACACTTATTTTAGAATTATGACTCCAGTTGGACAGTACATACATACCCTGAGGTATGCTAGTTTGATAGTCCCTAGAAGCATGTGCTGTGAGCAGGCCAAATAAGTGTTCTCTACATTGCTCATGACTGACTGCAACACAGCTGTTTCTAATCCCTTGCCACAATACAATTATTTTCACATTTCTCCCATTCTTTTTTTCACTAATCTGTGTTTAAAGAAGTGATAAAATCTCTTCAGGAACTCCCACCAAATCCAAAAGGATATTTATACCTTGTCCATTCCCCAAAATTATCTCATCTGTTTCATTACACTGCAGAAGTTTTAATTGCCACCTCTTCATTCATTTCTATCAAATACCATCCTTCCACATAGAAAATTACATCTCCTGACTTTCACCTCAGCCACTCTTCTCTCAATGATAATGCCCTTCCTGGAAATACAATACAGCAGCTGAACACGAACAAGAAAGGTACCTGAACTGCTGCCCTAAGCATCTTATTATCACATGTCATTGAAGAGATTATTGCTTTTTATTACCCTGGATTCAAGCAGGCGCAGAGGTGGGAGGAAAAGTACACTTGTTCTTAAACCAGCAAAATTGCATAAAAGATAGCTCTAATAATGTGTCAGAGAGACACAGATGCAATTTAAGGAAAGAAAACAACAGCAACAGCTACAGAAACACAAAACTAGTAGAAACGCAAGTCTCTTTCGATATCTCTTTTAGACAAGATGACAACAGCACAAGTATCTACTTGAGAAGCACCCTCCATTGCAAATGAAACACTGCACACAAGCACTACTTGTTGAACAGGCACTGACCTGGAAGGTAAAACAAGTAGTAAAAATTGGACAAGTTCTGAGCATAGTTCAAGGATGACCTCAGAAACGAAGACTGGTTTTACCTGCACTCTTCCTGCCCATCCTAAACCTGTTTTGCAAAGTTCTGCAACACGGAGGGGAAATTTCGAGTATTATTTCATTTTGGAGAAGCAAGACAGACAAAACAGGAAAATGCCTGTTCCTCCACTTCAACTCACTAAATAATCTCTTCTACAAGGATTTCAACAGCAAAAAAGGGGAGCGCAAGACAGAAAACCCCACAGCTTTGGCTGCTATGCTTATAAAAATTCACTACCTTTCCATGAAGGTGGGAGCATAAAACTCTTAGCGTGCTTACATAAGCTTTTCGGAGAAAGTTTTATTTGTTTTGTGTTTTATTGTTGTTTGTTTGTTTTGTTTGTCTGGGGTTTTCTTTTCAGGAGCTTCCAGTGAACATTTCCAGTTTTCTCTCTTGCTCTGTAATACTTAATCACTGGCTTGCTCTTAGCAGCCTACGAAAAGGACTACCAAAGCCTGGCTACTGAAAAGATGGGAATTTTCCTGCAATCACTGGCACTAAGTTCTAAGCTAGAACTTGCAAGGTCTCCTGTGTACTGCTTGGTGACAGTCAGATGTCTCAGAGCATGCTTCCAAGAAATAACACATTAGCTGGCTTGGGCAACAAAAAATACAGAGAATCCAAGGTACCACAAATCCCAGTCCCCTTTACAGATTCACTAATCATTGTGTCTGCCTACTTGATTCCTCTCCAGTCTTTTCTGACCTTTGCTTAACAAAGTTCACTCTGTCCTTTTAGAAGTCAGCCGGAGGAGGTGGGTTTTTCTTTCATAGCAGCTCCAGTTGCTGCCTACTTCAGAGGACAAAACACAACAACAAAGAGCCTTCATTATAATGATACAAAACTCCCCACTTACCAGGTTTGTAAGAATAGATTTCAATGGTAAATAATGCCTTGAAGTGTCTAGTAAGATTCCTCTATGAGCAAATCTTGGGAAGTCATTGATTTCAGATTCATTGACAAGAAACTATGAGAACAAAATTTAAAAATTAGAACTCCCATTTAATATTCATCATTTCAAACAGGAAATACTTTTTTTTTTCAGAAAATGTCTCTTGGAAATCTGTTAACAAACTGAAAAGTTACTGAATGAAATGGGTAAATCTGCTGTTTCTAGAAAAGCATCTAGTAAAGAATCTGTTTATCTGTAATCAGGTTTTAGTTAATACTTACACTTCCATAGTCATCTTCATGAACCAACTGGCTGAAGGTTTCCAAACCTGGAAAAATATCCAAGAAAGGGATGTGAAATACAACCCAGTACCTGCCCTTAAAGTTTTAGTTAAAAACAGGACCACAACTATTTACAGGCACTCACACAGCTAGAAAGAATGCTTTGTAGCTGAGTTTCCTTCTTTTTAGCAGTTTCCTTAATTGCTCAAGCATCACTGTTTTAAAAATTCCAAAGAGAGAACCATTCAAATTCTCCATTACACACAGATACTGAATACTATCACTACAGCTCAGTGGTAGCAAATTATTCCTTGAATAGTAAGAAAGCTACTGAGAGTAAAATCTGCTGATGTAACATTGCAGTAAGAACAGCAGACTGAAACTTCAGCATTATGATCTTCCTGGTAATGTGTTCAGTATGTCAAGTTATTAGGTGCAGTCAGAGAATAATCTGTTTACACTATAGATTGGAGAGTTTTTAGCACCCAGGGTTTGCTTGGCCTGGCTGATTTCAGGCAAGCGAGAGTGCACGTCTAATCAACAATATCTGAGTATCCTTCTGGCCTGACCAAGCTTACTTCCAACGACATACTGAATGAGGGCACAGCTGGTTCTTAGTCTGCCATGAAGTTTGTGTAAGCCCTAGGCAAATAGCTCTATATGAAAAGTAGCAGCTTACCTCTTAAAGCACCCCATACCTCATAAGCTTTCAGTATAGCCACAGGCTCAGTTACAGTTAAATTATCTAAAGAAAAGAAAAGAAAAAGGTTATTCCTCAAGAAACCATGAGTTGACAGGCCAATGGTAACAGGCATTAGAGATTCTTCAAGTGCCATGTCTCCCTTTGTTTTTTAAATTTCGATCAATCCTGTTTTTAACGATGACAGCGAGCAATTATTTTTCATTTATGTTTTTCTGATATAATGCGAGCTACTGTTCAGAGTTAATAAATACTGCTCAACAGTTAATAAATAAGAAGACAAAACAAGTGAGGTGCTTAATAATGGCAATGTTAAAATACTGTACATGGGCCAAAATTCCAGCCAAGTTTAACTCGATTTAAAACATAACAGATTATATTTCCGCTTTTAAGGCATGGTGATAAGGGTGGAGTAACTATGCCAGACTTAACCACAAAAAGTTCACTTCTCCTTTCACCTTCCTTTCATATACATTATGCTTACATATTTTTATTAGAGATGTAACTTGTCATATAATATTGCCAGGTACTAACTATAAAAGTATAATGACAAAGGAAAAAAGCTAATAATCAGACCACAGAATCACAGAATATTCTGAATTGGAAGGGACCCACTAGGATCATTAAGTCCAACTCCTGGCCCTGCACAGGACACTCCAATAATCACACCATGTGCCTGAAAGCATTGTCCGAACACTTCTTGAACTCTGTCAGGCTAGATGCTGTGACCACTTCCCTGGGGAGCCTGTTCCAATGACCAACCATCACCTGGACGAAAAACCTTTCCCTAATATCCAACCGGAACCTCCTCTAACACAGCTTCACGCCATGCCATTGGATCCTGTCACTGGTCACCACAGAGAAAAGACCACTGCCTGCCCCTCCTCTTTGCCTCATGAGGAAGCTGTAGACAACAATGAGGCCTTCCCACAATCTCCTCCAGGCTGAACAGACCAAGTGACCTCAGCTCCTTCTCATACAGCTTCCCCTCAAGGCTCTTCCCCATCTTTGTAGCCCTCCTTTGGACACTCTCTAATAGCTTGATATCTTTCTTATATTATGGCACCCAAAACTGAACACAGTATTCAAGGTGAGGCTGCACCACATAGAGTAGAGTGACTGGCTGGCGATGCTGTGCCTGATGCACAAGTAGGATGCCAGGTCACTCCACTGATCCCACATCTAATGGACATGTGTATGGGGGCAGGGAGATAAAGTAAGGTAGGTAAAATGGAGAATGGTATCTGAAGGACTTCATAACAATCGTCCCTTAACTTTAAGTAACAAAGTACAAAGTACTGGTGAAAAAAAAAGGTAAAATAATTTTGGTTTTGCATTAAGGTGATTCAGTAAATTTTAGTGAAGAAACAAATTTATTTTAAATATTTTTTTAACCATGTACACATATATGTATAAAAATACACTATTTCTATAAATCTATAGATTTATATTATTATTTAAACAGTAAAGCAATAATAAGCTGACCAGGATTGCACATCTGACACAGCAGAGAAAAAAAAGGGGTTAATTGCTGTACAAAGATTTATTTGATCTGTGTGTGTATCAAAGAATGGTTTGTCATATAATACACAGTTCAAACATTTACCTAAACTAGCAGGAAAAAGCCATTCAGTGACACAAAGAAAGTACCTCAGTCTTCCATGTTAAACTAAGCACAGATTGCACTGACTGCAAGGTTTGGGTAAGAAAGAGAACTTAGAAGACTCTTGCAAGTCTTTCTGTGGTAAATTGTGATCAATTGTCACAGATTTATTTCCAAGAGAGCAGGCTTTTTTTTTCTGAACAGATATCATACCTTAACTGAACACAGAACAAGCTATTTGGAACCTTTTACACAAGCAGGTAAGAACTCAGCAGGGAGAAGGGTAGGTACTTTTATTACATATTCAATACTCTTTTTATAGGATAGTCACTGACTGATAAATACTATCTCTACTAAGGAGCCACACCATCCAAACCATCAAGTGACCAGCATTTTTCAGAATTTGTTCCTTTGAAAAACTTCAAAAATCCAGAAAATTAAAAACTCGCTGAAGTCTGTAAAGCTCAGCTTACTACATGAGGAAAACATGTTGTTTGTAACAGGAAACTAATTTCTTAGAGCAGAGGGAAAAAACTCTGCCTGTTCTAAAGAATGCAACCTAAAAATCATATGATCTGACAGACTGCATGACAGAAGAGAAGAACCAGCTTTGGTAAAAATCTGAAGTTCACAAACCAGTTCAAAGTTCAAATTAGTAATATGGCAGCACAATAACCTGACTGTGGTAGAAAAATGCTAAAGCATTAGCATTTTTTCTGCTATATTTTATTTACATTGAAATGTGTTATAAGCTTGCACACAAAACTATTTAGCTATATGTGCCAAAAACATAGAGTACATTTAATATCAGTACATTCTATTACAAGTCAAGTGGAATTAATCCTGCTGCTGATGTATGACTTAAGATTAGAAGGATCTTTGTCTAAGAATCTGTATCCTGGATACCAAACAACTGCCTTCCCCAGTACAGAAGATTACCTCAAAACAGAACTAGATGAATATGTTGATTCCTGTGCTAGCCTGCCCAGACAAAAAGCAATCCTATCACTCATCCTTATTTCTGTTAAGAAAATTCTCTGGTAATTAGTTCTTTATTTAAAGTACTTCTCCAGTCTGGACTTCAACCACAGAACTAAAGAAACACAGAAAAATCCAATAAAAACACCATGGTTTTAAATCCTTTCTGGTACCTACTGATAGAAAGTAGATTTATAACACTGCAAGATAAATAACAAGTTCAACTCACTTTCTGTTTTTCCTGGAAAAACAGGAAATACCATGAGCATATCTCAGTATAAATAGCTTCAATTCGAATGTAGTAATTTTTAAGGATAACATATGGTAAACAAAGACAGCCTTCACTCAACACCCTGTACTGAAAGGCATGATCTCTTTGACTACACATAGATCTCACCAAACATAACTGGATATTGCATAGCTACTTGCTAGAAAGGACAGTAGCAGCTAAATGACCTGTACGGTAGCTAAACTGCAGAAATCACAGGCGACATGTCTAATGAGCTTCATGATTCCCTGTGAGCTGAGATTTCCCACAGCATCAAGAGCAGGAATCATTTTCTGGTCGCCACTGTTCTAAAACGTTCTTGAGCACCTCAGTGAGCCCGTGTTTTCCAGTTCCCTAAAAACAAAACCCTGCTGACTTTTACAATGGACACGTGATGGGAAAACCAGCGCTTAACGGTGCCGCCTGGGCCGTGGAAGGAGCAGCCCGGTGGGCGGCCGTGCGGGTACTCACAGGCCTCGCTGGAGCCCAGGTGCGGGAAGCTGTCACAGCCGGGGTCCGGCGCCTCGATCACCACCTGCAGCTCAGACAGCTCGGGCTCCCCTCGGGCAGTCAGCGGCCTTCGGCCCCACCTCCGCCGCCGGGAATGCCCGAACATGTACTCGTAGTACCTGCCGGGGAAGCACAGGCGCCGCCGGGGCCCTGAGGCGGCTGCTCCCGCCGCGGCAGCCCTCCGGCCCGCGGCCCCGCCGCCGCTCACCTGCGGAAGGCGTCCTGCAGCAGCCCGCAGCCCGGCCGCGCCGAGGAGCCGGCGCCGTGTACCAGCTGGAAGCGGCCGGGCGCCAGCTGCAGCTGGCGGGGGGACGTGCGGAGCCACTGTGGCAGCGGCCACAGCGAGTCCTCAGAGACGGCGTCCGCCGCCAGCTCCCAGTCGGCCGGCGCCGGCCCCGGCCCGGCCTCGGTCCGTGGTGCGCCGTGGCGGAGGCT